GGGGGGAAGGTGCAACATACCTTGGCATCTCGTTGATTTATACGAGTTGTAAAGGTTAATATTGTGGACCATTGGACGTGGTGAACTATGACTTCGCACGAGTGGGGGAGTTCACTATCAATGAATGGATTGCGAGTCATATGTTATATCAGTTTTGTCCTGAAATGTATATATGTGGTACTGAAAGGTTCTCCCAAAATTTACATGTGTTTAAGGCCTGAGATCTTGTAGAGAATAAGGTTGGGACTTGCAGTATGTCCACCTCCGTAATAATCTTATACTTTAGTACGAAAGGAGTTAGAGAAACAACATTAAATTTACAGAAGGTCTACTCGGCGTGGACGTCACGGTTGCAGATTTTGGGGTGCTTCAGAGGAAGTACAGTGGTTGACGAGATTCTGGACTAAGAATTGTCTGTATGGAGCTCTACTTTTGTGATCATTGTATATAAATAGGGGTAAAGTTTACCCAAAGAAGAATCGAAGAGTATGTTAAGAAATGGGTCAACTTAACAGTGTTGAGTCAGCATAACAAAAGAAGAAATTGGCCTTGGGAGAGATAAATCTCCACAGGTGTCTATGGCAAGGCTATGAAGAGGGCAGACCAGCCAATACAACACCGCCCACTTGGCTCGGTTCTCAGAAATACTTTTGAAAGAGTTTGTTTACCGGACTCTCCGTAATGCATGGCGCATAGGGTTTGAATGATTGCGTCAGGTCACCATGACGGTGTCATAATATGCCATCAGGTTCAATAAGTTAGCCCGTCATATTCCTACTTTTCTTCCTACAACCAGAGAGCGAGTCCACAGACCCATTAAAGGACTTAATTATGATCGTAAAATTTTGTATGACTCGGGAGCTACAGACTGATACTTCATTTCCACTAGTGGTAGAAATTGCCAAGATATTAGAACGTTCGGGGTGAGGAAAAAAAAAGAAGGAAACTAAAGAGACCAAGATTTCTCGAGGTTCTGGGGAATTCAGTGGATTCTACTCTGCGATTATAAATCATTATGGTGGGGGCTCAGGTAGTCGGCCAGCCCAGTTCGCACATCGGATTAATCTAGGTACTCCAGTAAGTTCTTTTAATGTACCACTGACATGAGTTTCCTACAATGGTTATCCAGTTATCTGGCACAGACTCAATATGAGCAGCCAAACTCGCAAAGGGGTTGTTATGAATACGGCGATACTAGGCACATCATGAGAAAATTGTCCCAAACTTGGGAGAGGCATATTTCATCAAAGCACTCAGGCTACGTGCCCCATTGTAGTTACTACACCACCCACACGATCAGTTAATGGTGGAGGACATGCAGGTAGAAGGCGTCCTAGAGGTGGAGACCCAGCCGTTGTTATATTTGTTTTATAGTATAGTGGAAGTCGTTACATCAGATGGTGTCGTTATAGGTACGACCTCGATTTAAAATAAAGGAATAATTTCTTAACTTGATTCGGTTCTGAGTATCAAGACGAGTCCTCCTATTGTGCTCCACTTATGAGTGAGCTTCGTAATTCTATAATCTACTCATGTGTTTACTTCTGTTGGGAGGTTTTATGGAGATAACTACACCTATCATTCCACGATGGACTCTAATAAGATCTGTGAGGCTAAAGGTGCCTTTCTTGTACTTATTTCGGTATGTTTTGATGTATTTTCGGATAATTAATTACAAATTGTGAATTATATGCCCTACCGGTATGGGGTTCATTATGTGTTGTGATTTTGTTTAACGAAAGTTATTTAAAAGGAGAAAATGGAAAGTTTCGATTGGCAAGATGTGCATATTACTTGTGATTCAGAACTGAGGCCAAGGTCCTCGTATTTTAAAATAAATTGATATATTTAAACCGGGCTATGATCTGCGGTGAAAGTTATATAAGGACGAGATCCTTGTGATAAAAATTCTTATGTTTAAATTCTCCCATGTGAAAATTAAATTTGTACTATAGTACTAATAGGGAGTCATGCTTGCTAGGCTTATTTGAACTTTTTTTATATGAAATTCTCTGTGCATACTTGCCAAATTCGTGTTGTAATACTGAGTTATAACCTACGAGGTAGGTGCCTGCCCAGGTGGCGTTAAATGTGACTCATTAATTCGGGTAAATAATTATGAGGTCTCCATGACTCGCATCTCGTTATTAGTATTGTGAAGGTTTGAAACGAGATTTTTGTTAACATGAAGTTAATTGACGATTCTGTAATTGATTATGAATAACTATTAAGACCAGATTGACCCAGAAGGGTGCCCCGTTTAGGTGGTCAGATGAGTGTAAAGCGAGCTTTCAGAAGTTCAAGACAGCTTTGACTATGACATCGGTATTGGTGTTACCCACAGGTTCAGGATCTTATACAGTATATTGTAATGCATCTCATATTGGTGTGGGTGCGGTATTGATGCAGGGTGGCAAGGTTATTGCATATGCTTCACGACAGCTGAAGGTTCACGAGAAGAATTACCCTGTTCATGATCTAGAGCTGGCAGCCATTATTCACGCACTGAAGATTTGGAGGTACTACCTTTACGGCGTGCTATGTGAGGTATTCACTGATCATCTGAGCTTGCAGTATTTGTTCAAGCAGATGGAACTCAATTTGAGGCAGATGAGGTGGCTGGAGCTATTGAAAGACTATAATATCACCATATTGTATCATCCCGAGAAGGCCAATATGGTGGCCGATGCT